ACGAGCCCATTATTGAACAACTTATCTCTTTGACCCAAAGGAACATTTTATATTGTTGTGTGTCAAGTTTCACTTCAGAACAGGGTCAATAAATGTCTCCACGGTCGGCACAGTACAGTAAAATACCACAGCATTCACGGCACAGTACATTTTTATTGAGCACAGAAACCATGTGTACAGGAAAAATATCCACAGCCTCAACTGAGTGGGTAACACTGGCTCACCTCATGGGATGGCTGCTGGTGAAACTTGAAGGGGCAAGCAGACAACTGCACTTAAACTCACCGAGGAAACAACTTTTGAAAAATTAAACAGCTGAATATTTTTAGCTCCACGTTACATCTCATGCATGACATCAAAAATATTATTTCTGACATAATAGTTTCATCAACAAACACAGGACATACCCAATCTCAAATGTTTGACAGGCACAGACACTGAGCTCAACTGCTGCTCTGGAAAGTTCAAAGTTGAGATTTAGATTCAGATTCAGGTTTTTATATATATATATATAAAAAAAAATCATACATATTCTGCAGTTTATCCATGAATCAAATGTACCAGTAACCCCAGCAGGACATTCACCAACAAAAAAAAGTTATGGTGTTTAAGAACTTTAAGCTGTTACAAAGTTTAGACAGGTGACTGTTCATATATTTCCCTTTTTTTAGACTGAGATAACGCAGCACTTCTTCCATTCATACAAAAAAACAGAATAACTGACATGAAGCTTCAGAAATATAGGAAAGGCTGAGGGTGACAATATATCATTTGACATGATCTTTGATGGTGATTTAGTGACATGTGCACCTCACTGCATCAGACACAAATAGGCACACTGACATCAACAGAAAGCGATCACAGCTATTAAGGTACATGAGAGCACATGACTGCAGAGGTTCAGTGACACAAATATTCCTGGAGTGATCTTTTTGTTTTACCTCATTCAAGTGTCACTGAGAACACTGCAGACCCATCTTTGTCGCTTTGCTTTAGCACACGTTAACAAAATGAGCCACAGCAAACCAAGCCTGCTGTAATAAAGTCTATGTCAAAACAATGCTGAAAGGAAACAAAAGCATGTTCACTACGGAAAACTTGGCAGTAAACTGAAGACTTCTTAGAGGTAGGACATGGAATAAAGTTGCCAGGATTTATCCTTCACATGTTAAAAGCTGTTTTTTTTTTACAAATCATGAGGCCTAATGAGTAGTGTCAATATAGGTACAGCAAAAATGTGATAACAAACAAACAATCCAGCAGCTATATTGCACTGGTACACTGCTCAGTGGGCAGCTAATAATGGACTACTGGCCATTTCATGATCACAGACACCAGCCTGAAAGATGTTTTCTGATATTAGTCATTGCATTTCTCTTCTTGTAGTAAACAAATCAAACCCAAACCTGGAGTTGGAAATGGTTCAAGTGTAATTTAAATTGAGTTTAATCGGTGTGGTCTGCATCGTTTATGAAGACTGAGCATCTCTAGGTTATAACACGTACAAAGAAATTATTTAGAGTATGATAAAATTGCAACACCTAATGTTATAGGGAATTAAAGGCCACATAGTGGGAGTAGGTGCTGCAAAATTGGCCCAGGTAATGTTAGTATTAGGTTTTTAAAATACCCAATTTCACACCGACTACATTCCTACTTGTTAAAACAATGAGCTTTTCATGATACATGTGAGTGCAGCTGCCATTTCATCTGACTGAGGGATGCACAAGGTTGATTCAGTTAATTCATAACAAGTGTTTGAGAGCTATGACCATCTAAGCATCCAGCGTATAATGAGCCACATTAATATTACTCCACAATTCAGATGTTAATACGAGTGAGAACATATCTGTGACACCAAATCCTCACAATACATAATGACCAGGGTGCAATAACACAGATGTGAGCCGTTCACACAGAGTTGCTTCATACGAGATGAAATATAAAATGACCTGTTGGTTCAGTTGAGGTCAGACTCACAGGCAACACTGTAACTATGTAGTCTACAGTCCCCATCTGTGTCCAGTTACTGAAACACAACCTCTACGCTCACATACAGTACATACAGTATATCACCCTGCAATAAGTGACGTCTGTATGAAATTATCTAATAAACTGTATATATATATATAGAAATTATAAAAAATTATGGATAAAGCAATTTCAATTTAACTGGTATCAGCCTGCATCAGCGTCAGAAAAAAAAAAAAAAAAAAACACAAATACATAGAATAACATACCAATAAGTCCCATTCCTCTTCCCCAGCAGATCAATAACTAATAGCAGGTATTGTAATTAATTACAATTGAATGCTTCTGAATTTCATTTTGCAAGTAATTTCTGGCATACTGATTGATTTTCAACCCAAACAGATTCATTTCAGCTGTGAGGTAACAGCAGACAGTGAAGATGGAAAAAGTAAACACACAATATTGTATCAACCAATCAAAATTTGTTTCAACAGCTCATCGATTTTAATTAAATACATCCATTTTGAGAAAAAGCTAAGTTTTGTCTGTCTGCACGACACCACTTCGAAACAATACATGTATTTTCCCCAAAGCCACTTAAACATTTTACCAGAGGGTCAATTATTGAGCATCCAGTTTTATCATTTTCTAATCTCGTTAACATGGTGTTGTATCAGCAGCTCTCTGCTTTCAAACCCCTTGACTATTTGCACATTCTAAACAAAAAATATATTAAAAAAAAAGGACAAAAACAAATACTATAAAAGATCACTTAGCCCTAACCCATTACACATTAGATTATTTAACCTCAAATGTACATATCAATACAGACTTTGATTAATGTTAGCCAATTTGTTAGAGTGGTTATTTGTTGCTTTAATTTAACATAACACGTTGTGACTACAGTATGGAAAGAGCTCTGTTCTATCAAGAAGGCCTTTCAAAATCAATTTTACTAATACGAAATGTGCAAAAGGTCAAGGGGCAGAAGAAATCAATTTAACACAGAAAATAATGTCATTGGTGTTTAGTCAATCATACTGTATCTACAAGGATTTATATTTACAATGTCAGATTTTCTCTTTCATGCATCATTTTTTTATGTGGTGAATTGAAAACCAGTAGCATTAAACCCATGATACAGTAAGAACACTGGCTTATTCACCATTACGAGTATTATATCTGGGCAAGTTATGACCGTATCTACACTGGTTTGTCTTAGTTGCTTTCAATGAAGGTAATTTACAATAAAATAAATGACTGCCATTTAATGTAGTTGTACATTTTAAGAATATTCAGTTAATAATAATAAGCTCAGTTTAACACTGGGCTTCATTTATTGTTTTTTGGGTTTATAATAAATATATTTTGAATGGGTTGACAGGAAGTTAGCTGACGCAGCTCTTCCCTGAAAGTGCCAGTGAGATGAACAGAGAGAAACAGAAAGGAAAAGGCCAGAGTGGGAAAAGGAGGAGATGTATGGTTGTGAGGTCACTACCAGTTTGCATTCTCCCAGGTTTCCTCGGCAGGTTTCGTGGGACTCTTCTTCGTCTTTCCATCTGCGTTTTCCCAGTTGTTGTCCCAGGCCTCCCAGCTCTCCTCTGTGCTGTGTTTGTTGTTGGACGCTGCTTCGGAGCCCCAATTGTCCCAACTGTCAGAGCTCTTCTTTGCAGAATTATCTGGGATGGTCCAGCTGTCACTGCTGGGAGATTTCTTGGCCTTTAGGGAGTTGTTGCTGCCAAAGGTTTCCCAAAAGTCCTTTGAGACAGGCTGGCCAGAACTGCCCTGATATCCCTCAGTGGCATCCATGTTCTGGTAGCTCTCTCCGGCAGACCTGAACAGTCAAAACATGAAGAAATGCTTGAATAGTTTGTGTTGTATAGCATTAAAGCTCACAGTACAAAAGTATGTTTTTGTGTGGAGATCTGAATTAGAGGAAGTTGGTATTATTACCCATCTTCTGGTTTTCCAGTGAAGAGGTTAGTCAATTTTGCACCAGCTCCCTGAACCTAAAGAACAGAGAAATATTGAGCTCACAACATTTTTATGCAGCTGTTATTTCAAGTGTTAAAACTTCATCATAATACCATAATTTGTAGAAGTTATAATCGGTAGGAACTTAACTAAAGTACAATCAGTGTTTTCTACTCAACAAATGAAAATATTATGCTGCAGTCATAAGAGGAAGTAATAATAAAACTGCACACAGATGTTGTAACACTTTCGGAAAGATTGACTACTAAGTACTCACCGCCAGATTAAAAATGGCAGCAAGAAAAATGAGAGATTACATTAAATTAGTATTGTTCAAACATTCATCATCACAGCAAAACCAGTCTCCGTTAAGGGGTTATGACTGCAGAGGCAGTTTTTGCATATATCTGTACTAAGAGGTCCAGGTATGACCAGAAAAGTGTCAGAGCTGCTGTTCCTCGCTCAGGAGACTGGTTTTGCATCTGTACAACATGGCAGACGTCTGCCCATCCTACCTTGCTTGCCAGTTCAGTCATGCCTACTGCCATTTCATCTAGCAATTTGCCATCTTTCACCTGGATGAGCCAAATTATTATTAAAAACTGATAAAAACAGCAATTTCCATCTACATACATTTATCCAATAGAACATGTAGTGAGCAACAGCTTGTTTTTGATTGTGAGAAAAGTGATTTGTGTTTTGTTAAGGGCGCTGATAATCATCATGAGGAAACAATAACATTTAGTTTGAGCCTAACAAAATGTTATTGTTCCCAAGAGAAAATAACTACAGTAAAAATAGTTACAGCTACAACCATTTTGCAAGGGACTGTTATATAAGCACATACTATAGATACCTTAAAACCCCAATGCCAGCTGTACATTAAAAGACAAAAACATTTTGTTTTCATGAATGAAATGTTCAACTTTAAATCAAAAACTTTTTTTTTTTTCCTTTTATCTTCCTGTGTTTTGATTTATGAGCATGTTTTCTTATAGCTACACAGGACTCATTTGATGTCATGAAAAGACACATCCAGGAGTTTCCCATTTGACACTAAGCGTTAGAGCAGCTATGTGGAGGCATGTGCTGTATGTGGAAACACTCACCATAACCTCAAGGATGGTGACTGATAATATTCAGTTCATACGTGTCGCCAATAACAAAGCTTATTTTCATGCAAAAGCTCAAGCACACTGAATCTGCTAAGCAATAGCAATTGTCAGTTAAGGGGACTCGGGTTGTGTCATTTCATGTTTGAAGAACTCGAAACTTAGAAACCTAAAGATCAAGATTGTGGCTCTTTAGGGGGCACTTTTATCATGGATCAGTGAAGCTTGGCTTACATTTCTGGCCAAATAAGAGATTTTTAATTCAGTTGTCTTGGTGGATGACATGGGAAATTAATTTGGTAAAGATCTTAAATATAGATTTCCTTATTTGTGAAGGAAGGTGTGCCCCAGCTATAAAGCTGAACTGGATTTGTTTTATGCAATCCTAATGTGTTTATATTAGGATTACAATGTTTGAGGCCAGTGTAACATGCTTTGTATGTTTAGCATAAAGAAGGTTAATGTAACTGACATCCAAACCTACTTTAATATAATAATAAAATAATAAATTACCAATTTGATACTTTGAATGCCTTCAAAATGAGGCATGATAACTGAACAAAGACTTTAAGCTCCTAAAAATATATTAATGCACTTTAAAAGCCCTGTCCAGTGACGCACACCTGTTCCCAACAGTTCACAGCTGTATGCTTCTGCAAATCTTACAGCTGAGTCACTAACTGGGAAAAACAAGGGGTATGTCAGCTTTTGTCGTTTAATGTAAACTGGCATAAAGCAGATAAACTGGCACATACAAGCAGTGTAGAAAATAGCACATTCACATCTGAAGCTGTTTTATTTTTTCCTTTTTCTAAAAGCACTCTATCCCACCACCAAGTCAACAACTTCAAACATCAATGTTACCTTTTCTTGGGTAGGTTTGATAACATTCTCATTTAATGTCTGTCCTAACTCTGTGGCCTAGTTGGAAGTCAGAAGGGAGAATTCACTTGAATGAAACAGTTTAACATTCACAGTAGAGCAAGACACTGAGCTGCTTGTTCTGCAGTTGTATGAGGTGCCTGATCATTCCCGTTCACCATGACAATAAACTACCACTAGAGGGTGTAATGGTTCAGTTAAACTTACATCATCAGTGTAGAGTAAAAGACATCATCTTTTTGTGATGTTTTACTCTGCCTAAGCTTGGCAGAGTAACATGGTGCGTAAAGGATTTATCATTGTTCCTTGTTGCCTTATTTATACCAAAATAACAAAATGTTTGAGCAACCTATACACCAACAAATCTACCAAATGTTGTTATGCATTGATTTCAATTAAGGGTCGAACTTCAGGGAAGTGTGCTGAAATGTTTTGATAAATATATACACCATATATACCATTACACCTCACTCTACAGCAGTCAACACAGAAACTCATGCATGAATGGATAACCTTTTATCATTTCCCTTCCCACAATACAGTTACCAGCTGTCTTTCACAGGTTATCCATAAACTCAAAATACAGGTACCAAGACAGACACAATGCCCTGTGTTAGTACATCCAAGCAGAAGCATGTAAAGACGACATTCACTATTTTCTTGTTTTACTGTTAAAAAAAAAAAAAAACACAGACAGAACTGACAGAGTGACAGAAATAAAGAAAATGGGTAATGTGCATCTTAAAATAAAAAAAATATGATGCTGGAAAAAGTGCCATGCACCTATTATCTGCTTTACCGGTTCTGGGGGCGCTTTATAGCCCTTTAACTACATCCAGAGAAGGCAAAGAGATATTAAAGTAGTAACAAAGTTATTACAGCATGAAAGTGTACATTATATGTTAAGAGATTTACCAAGCAATATGGCATACATTTGGTGAACAGCCTACTAATCCCCTTAAGTAAGATGATACTACTCAGTAAGACAGAGGAAAACTTAAGTCAAATGTAATTCTGACAAAAAAATGTTATTAGCAGTACTGGTAACAGGTAACCCATGACTATATTAGTCTTACCTTTAAGGTTGCTTGGTTTGCCAGTTTAGATGTCTGTATGATGAGAAACAATTAGAAAATATTAATTACCTTTAGTTTTTAACAGGTTGTTATTTCCATGCAGAAATACTCAAATTCAATGTTGCACAAATAACATTTATTTGCATAAATACACTTACATTATCTTTAGCGATACTAGCAAACTTGCTGGCTCCAACAGTAAAACTGCTCCAACCCTGCAAAAAAACAACAACACGCAAATAAAAGGTCACAGGGGAAAACAAATACAATAAAAAGTAAAACTCAAGATAAGATACATATTGTAACCTACTGAATAAATAGAAGACATGGCATTGTTGATGAAGTCATCCTCTTTCTTCTCTGGGGTCACCGTGTTGCCAAAGCCAACATACCGATTCTCCTGATTCCCACTGTAACCCCCACCACTAAAGAAGCAGAACAAAAATACTTCATTTACAGAAAACAACAGAAGAGTGCATGATAAACTACATTTTAAAAGTATGACCCTCTTACCTCTGATACGAGTTAACGTCGTCACTCAACCAGTCTTCAAAAGCTTTGTCGTTAGGTTTAGCTGAGTTTTGTCCAGGTCCTCCAGAGCTGTGGAACAGAAACATGAATTCCCCACTTTAACACCTGTTCTGTGTCTGATTACACACAGCTGTGATCAACATTTCCTTCACTTTTACCGATGAGAGGATGAAAGGCTGGTCTTGGGTTGAGGGGATGTCCAGTTTCTGGCAGGTGATGTCTCAATGGACCATTCCTTACCCTCTGCTAAAGTGGCCACCTGTCATATACAGAGGGTTAGGGTTAGTCATTAATCCGGTGAAGGACACCTTTACAATCTATACATCTCACAGAAACCTAAGCATAAACTTAACCATTCTGCCACCAGCTCTTAATGTAAATACATCTATTTATTTAGCATACACACACTTACGAAGTTTCGTCCATTTCATAGTTAGTAGTTTTCTATCTGTCTCTATTAACATTTAACCTGATGAATGCACTAATGTATTTCTACTGGCAAACCACTAAAATGTGTTAACTCCCTGACTGAGATAATGGAGAATTTAGTCCTAAATGAGAAATAAGTAAATAATTAATATAGTTGTGGTTTTCGTCCTGCAAGCCGATTGAACATCTTTTAATCGTAGACCATTAGGTCTGCACACTTCACCTTGTCCCTGAAGAGCGCAGCAGCTTTGCTGTTGTATTTCTCCTGTAAATTCCAGGTGGGATCGTAATCATCTTGGAGCTCAAGAAACAGGCGGAATTTCCCATTTCCTCCCGCTTTCATCTTCTCAAGTTCAATATCTTTCCACTTGTCCATGGTGACAGAGCGCACAAAACTGCAGACAGGGCAGAAGAGATAAATGTATCGTTATCAGGCTGTAATATTTAAGTGAGAATGAACAAAGGGCACACACAGACTTATCAGGGCTGTCCGGCTGTTGTAGTAACACTGCTACAATGATCCACAACAATCAGCACCGTAAAAACATTCCACTGTTCTTACCTGAGATGTACTCCCAGGCCCCTGTGCTTTCCAGAGCACTCAAGGCAAATCCAGATCCCGTAGGTCACACTAACCCATTGAGGATTAAAAGCCCCACACTCAAAACACAGCTGAAAACAGAAAATGACACATTGGTAAATCAGTTTGTACATTAAAGATGAGATGTAGGCTGACCCTGCATTTATAAAGAAGATTCATAAAACATAGTACAGGGTCATTTCACATAATTAGGGTCTTGGGAGCAAAATCAAAATTTGTTTTCAGATTGATGTTTAAACATTGAGATATTCTCTGGCAGTAGAACAATAATACATTTATTAATATAATTACAATTTTGGGAGACATATTTGTCCTATTGTTATAGCCAAAGATGCAGCCCAATAAGATGTCTACTGGAAATGAAGTTCTCACCTACAATTACTCCCACCATTTATCTGAACAAGGATGAAAGCAGGGAGGTTTTTTGAAGGATTGTGGGAAGGTGCTACATTGAAAGCCTCCCAAACACCTGCTACCCGCTATGTGAATTATAAAGTTCTAGTGAGGTGAAACTATTTTGACTTACTTTTGAAGTGAAAGTAAGCGACATGAATATGTTGCTATGAAGACTTACATTGTTCTCATCCTGAGTTCTCACTTCCTTCAGAACTCGTCTGGTCCTTGGACTCGCCATCTTGACCCACACTGAAAGAATTGTAGAGGATCTTCTTAAGTACAACACTGAGTTATGAAAGCAGAGTATAAAAATATTCATGTAAATATCTTTCGAAACAAGTTATACTCCATACTGAATCCAACTTCATGTTACAAAGCTACATCTTGAAGGAATAGGATATAATTGTGTAAAATTGTTGAGCTCTATTTCACATGCTGAAACCACATATTCCTATTGGACTGTCTCTTCCAAGACAAATTCCTCCCTAAAAACTGAAGTGACATATTATTGTTTACTGTATAACAGAGGTCAGATATAATTTGTGAATCTGAAGCGGTCTCTCTAAAAGCTGGATAGCAGTGAGAGAAACTGTTTTGATGATGTCATCTAAAGCAAACCTGGCCCCGCTCCACAGACAGCAGGCTTGTTTGAGATGAACTGTGCCTCGCCTGGAAAATAGATGAAAGCAGCTGGCTGGAAGCAACAAAAAGCTGCAGTAAAACCTTGCCAGAATGACACAGGAAGTCGCCTAAATATTCATCAGACTGCAAGATACTGCTGACAAACTTTTATAGGTCACAAATAATTGTTGTTTACCGAGGTGGATGTTCTGAGGGAAAAGCTATATGACAATTAAATGTATCATTTTATGTTGTGAGTAGGGCTGCGACTAATGATTTATATTATCAATTAAGCCCAAAAGCATTAAATCCTCACATATAAAGAAGCTGGATCCAGTGAATGTTTTTTCATTTTTGCTTGATTGTGGATAAAATTCAACTGATGATTTAAAACTGTTTATTTTCTGTAGATTTGTAGTAGATTTTTTTCCTTTAATTTAAAATCTGTTGTCCACACCACAAACATATTACCATCTCAGAGTAAAGACATTTCTTCAGTCGGTACTGTGATGCCACAGGAGGTCAGCAGCAAGTTGTACCGACCTCTAACCAGCCTGCATTGTGTAGTGATCACCAATGATTGTTACTGCAAAGGCCGGGCTGAGCTTAAACCCACTCGGTGATTAATGAAGTAACTACCATGACAGCAGTGATGGTGATATGGGAACATGTTCACAGCTGTAACCCTACCTTGGTTTTAATTTAAGACAGAGGGCTTTGTCACAGCAGTCAACATAAGAAAAGCACAGTTGTTACTAATAACATTAGACATTTAATCAGCTCATTATCATCTGATTTATTATATTATTCCTCTGTGCTATAAACTTCTATTGTCAAAACTAGTGAAACACATGAGTGAGCCACAACATTCAACTGGGTTCCTTCAGTATAATGAACGTGGGCAGAGTATCTTATTTTGAGCCAATCCTACATACACCGTCCTACTGCTGTAAATACTCTCTGAAGCATCAAATGTTTATCAATGCCAGGCTGAAAATAACAAATGCACAACTGACTCCTGCTCAAATAAAGATAGCTGCAAAGTACACTGCTCAGCTGTTTGTTTTATGTTTGTTTTACAGATTTATGTATTCAGGAGGAATGAATGGGCCCGAGAGTCACAGACAGGGTAGGAAAGTCAGACAGCATTAAGAGAACGCATTTTTGGTTTTGCTCTTTTTACGTAATTTGATGTTAATAACAAAAACATTTTTAAAAAAAACACCGGCTTTATCCTTTAAATTGTAAGGTGTGTTTTGAATGATGCTCAGTTGTTTAGTGTATAAAAAGTGATAAATATATGTCCAAAACAACCCCAAATCCATCCAATGTCCAATGATAAAATGATGGTCTAATCTGTAGTTTAAAGATACTGACGTTGCTATCCAATAACCCCAGAGACAGTAACACATACAGTGCAGCGTCTGTATCAGAGCGGGTTCTCAGCCAGGTGTGATGTGTTCACAGAGGCACTCTTTACAAACCCTTACAGACATTCAGTGAGTCTGAGACACCAGCAGAGGAAACTCTCAGTCCACTGGCAAGTTCACATTTCTCAAACCACCACTGGCTTCTCTGAGCAAATATAAATGTTGCTGTCAACCAAGGGTGAGGGATTCCTGCAGGCTGACTGACTGGTTTTGATGGACATTACCTACCTGCTGCTTCAGCTAATCATATCTGTTTAATCTATCATTTTATTCAGTCTGGATCCTCTTGAAGCAAGGCCTTCATGCAAACAGCCATTATTATAAAATAAGTAGTTGAACAACGTGTTGCTGGTGTCCACCATGGTCGTGATACGTCCTGTGTCTTAAATAAAGCCAACCACTGATGTGGAGACAGTGTAAGGTTTCCACAGTAGAAGTGCAGTCGTGTCAAGGCTCCTCCACTCCTAACAAACACATACCAAACACCGGCTTCCGTCCACTATTTTAAAACTCACGCCTAAAGCATTGTGGTGCCTTTGCGGCGTCTTGCTCCAGTTTTATCGTTTTAGAAAGCTCACTTCCAAAGGGACACCTCGTCAAATGGTTACAAACATGTAAGAGAGCCGATGTACTGACTGACAGTGGTAGCGTTAGCCGCGGACCGAGCTCACCGACCCGTTACCTGTCTGTGATTGATGGACAACGAGGACGCTGCTGTCAGAGGCTCTGCTGGCTCCGCCGAGAAACTCTACGGAGGGCTTTTCTTCTGTGGCGGAGGCCCAGCGAGGGTTATAAAGTCTAACACTGTCTCAGGCCAATACAAGTGGATTATAACGACGGGCTGCTGATGTTATACACCGGTAGCCATGTTCCTGTTTGCATACGTTGGCAGTGCAATGCATCATGGGAGTCGTTCTCCTCCTCCTCCTCCTCCTCTTCTTCTTCTTGTCTTTCTTCTTCGTCTCTCTTTCTGTGTCTGTGTCTGCTGCCCCCACTGGCTCGGAGGGTCAACGTGAATGTGGTATTTATTTTATAGGAGCTCTTCTTAGAAATCCACAAAATCTAAATGAGGTTTGTCTTTCACGTCTCAGTGTCACACTGTAAAACATTTATGTCTTTCTCTGGGAAGAATTAGCAGAAACTTTCTTATTTCTAGGCTAAACTAAAATATCCTCCAACTTCTCCTAATATAATAGGCCCTTTGTACAGCGGACATTTTAACCCGTCGTAGCAGAAAAAGCACAGGTGCTGCTAATAACATTAAAGACTGAAGCAGCTAAATGGAGTTTAGCCATAATTAATGTTATTAGTTTGTCTGTGTTTGTCCTACAGTGACGTCTTCTGTGAAAAAGGTCTATTGATGGGAGACTCTTTATCCCACTCTTGTGTAAAGCACTTTACATTTTAGCCCACCTCTGTGTTTGAAAGGTACTGTACGAATAAAATTAAGTTGCCTCTTAAGAGCAATTATACAGCCCATCATACACGCTTAAGCTAATTCTTGAGTATTGACATTAAATTCTCCATCAATACATGACTACCTTAAAAGTAAAATCTTTGCACTTGCTAAAGTTTAGACTATCAGAAATAATCAATATTTATATTAAATTAAATATGTATATTAGTTGCATCTAGTGGTGATGTTGTAGATTGCAACCATTTGAATACAGCTCAGCCTTTCCAGGCATGTAGGAGAAACTACGTTGGCCACGAACAAACCCACGAACAATGGGAAAAATGCAAAAGCCCCTCAGTGTCAGTGTTTGGTTTGTCCGTTCTGGGCTACTGTAGAAACATGGCGGTTCAACATGGTGACCTTGGTGGAGGAGGACCCGCTCTGTGAATAAAAACAGCTCATTCTCAGGTAATGAAAACACAACTTTTCTTATTTTCAGGTGATTATACACTAATGAAAACATACCGATGAATATTATTTATATTTCATTTCTAACAATAGATCCTCATAAATGTTACACACTGGACCTTTAAAGTTCTGTGGTCTTTCTATTGAAGGAATGTGTCTGTTAAGAGGAGGGGATTTACAGATAAACACACCTTCATCCTGTGTGCTAGAGACAGAATTGGCCCTTTAATGTGCATTTTGATCAATTAAGACCAATTTTCTGATTTGACCTGTACATACTTTACCTTTTTAATCAGTCATTATCTACATCTGTGTCCTTGATGGAAGTCAGAGATCATAGGAAATGGTCCCTTATGAGGGTCCTTGTTAGGTCGATGCCATGTATAATCTGTGAAGGCAGGTCATAAATTGATAAACTGGCCTAGGTTTATCACCAACTGACCCATCCTATTCCCCACGCCCCTTTTTGTTCTGTGCTCTAATAACAGTTAAACAAGCCAGGTCAGAACCAGTCAACTTTCTTCTTTCCTGCATGACTGCTTGTTTAGGTTGAAAAGACATTTTGAACATAGGAGAAAGGACAAAGTTGACTGAGGTTCCAAAAGGGGATGAACTTAGGAAAGGTCAGCTGGCACTCAACACTGATCTCTGGAGGTCCTGTCGGCCTGTTCCTGGACTCAGAGGTCTTATGATCAAAAGAAGGTTAAGCAAAGATCCGTTTTTTCTGTAAAATATGTGAAGTTCAAGTCACTGTATTTACTACAAAATGCAATGTTTCCGTCATCTGTCCTTTGTCAGTAAAAAAAATAGAATTAAGAACATTTACAAACCTTAATATCAACAAATAAGAATTTGTTGTTTGCTAGTTTTCATTTTAGATCAATTTTCACTTTGTAAACCCAAAGCAACAGTAGTGGCTATCATGGTGTATTATTATAGTTTGAGCAATACAACGCACAGTTTCTATAGGGATTGCAAATTAAATTAAACTTTTTAACTCAAAATAAATGTAAATAGAACTGAAATTCAATAAATGTAGACTGGCACAGCCTTTACTGTTAGTATGCACCCTTCATTTAGCTCCTTTTGTGTCACAGACAAGCCTTTATTGTACAGTATTTTTATCAATCCTTTATTTACCCTAAACCATGCTCTTGAAATCCACCTTTAGACAGGACCGTGATGAAAAATAAGAGGGGAGGAGAATTTTGAGGAATCTGAAGGATTAAAGTACAGTCACCACTCAAAGTAGAGCAGCGGTGAATAACCGTGTCCTGTGCGGGGTTATGCTCCTTACCCAATGGCATTAGCTGCTCTTATCTGATAAAATAGAGGTATAAAGGGGATGTTTCTGCAGCTGGGGGAGCAACACTGAGTTGTACATCATCATGAATGTGTCTACAAGTTTGAAGGTGCGGCTGCCGGCGTTAGTGCTAGTGTTGGAGGTTGTCATTATAACACTTTATGCTGTCTTTGTCACTTATGACGACAATGCCAACGCTAAGCTGCAGAACAATGAGACTAACCCGATGGAGAACTCCATGTATCGCGACTATCCCTACTTTGCCGACGTGCAGGTGATGATCTTCATAGGCTTCGGCTGCCTGCTGGCCTTCTTCCGATTCTACGGCTTCAGTGGAATGGTCTTCAACTTCCTTACAGCTACATTCGCCATCCAGTGGGCCATCCTGATCCAAGGTTTCTTCCAGTTTTACTATGATGGTAAAATTCACCTGGGGGTGATCAACCTGCTGAATGCAGAGTTTGCCTGCGCTGTGGTGCTCATCTCTTTCGGAGCCGTGCTTGGGAAGACCAGTCCTGTTCAGCTCCTGGTCATGGCTTTGCTGGAGATCCCTGTCTTTTCTGTGACAGAGTGGGCTGTATTGAAATACATCAGGATCAATGATGCAGGTGGCACTATTCTTATTCACCTGTTTGCCTGCTACTTTGGTCTAGGGGTGACATTTATGCTGTACCGCCCGAGCCTGAATAATGGACATGCTAAAGAGATCACTAGTTATCCTTCCGACATCCTCTCTGTAATGGGAACCCTGTTCCTCTGGGTGTTCTGGCCTTCATTTAACTCTGCTCTGACCTTTAAGGGTGACGATCAACACAGAGCAATACTCCACACATTTATTGGTCTAAGTTCGTCCACTATCACCGCCTTCGCACTCTCAGCACTGTTCAATAAGAGAGGTAAGCTCACAATGGCTGACATTCAGAATGTGACCCTGGCAGGTGGTGTGACTGTTGGGGCTTCTGTGGACATGATGATTTCCCCTGTAGCTGCGTATGCCCTGGGCGTCATGGGCTGCACTGCATGTTTCTTTGGCTACAAGTACTTGACCCCCTTTATGGCCCAACGCATGAGGATCCAAGACCAGTGTGGTATTCACAACCTCCACGGGCTCACTGGCCTCATATCATCCACAGCAGGGATCTGCGCCATCCTCCTAGCCACGGAGGAAACCTACGGGCCCAGCATGTACCAGATCTTTTCCCATCGTGCTCCACCTGTAGGAGATCCAAAGCTCCTGGAACTGCAGAAGCTGATTCCTGGGCTGAAACCAGGCTTGGGTCGCACTGCGCAGGAACAAGCTCTCTACCAGGTGGCAGCTGTCTTCACCACCATAGCAGCATCTGCAGTTGGTGGGCTGCTCACTGGTATGGTCATGAAGCTGTCCTTCATGGCATCCCCATCTGACAAGGACTGCTTTGATGATGAACTTTTCTTTGACATGCCCTCTGACTTTAACAGCATAGAGGAGCTCAAGACCCCCATAAGCAATGATGAAAAAGGACAGATGAGCTCTGCAGACACCAAAGTCTAAGCTGTCACATTATGAGTCTTTCCATTTTTAAATTATTGTCATGGCAACTATTTCATAATGTAGATTTTTCACACTTGTTTGCAAGTGTGACAGATGTGTGATTGATTATGTTGGAGAGATTTTTTGAATTAAGCTATCACCAAACACCAAAATTTCCTGTTGAAAGTGGAGTGTTTGTAATGTAAAGTGGTATTAGACATGTAAAAGTGTACAATATGACACTTATTAATAGGGGAAATGTGTAATATAAAGTATTTATATTTAAGAAATTCCATTTGAAATAAATAATTTTAAAAATACACTGATGTATCTTCTTTATTATTTATAATGTGTTGTAGCACATTTTCTAGGGAACATATTTAAGCCATGCTCTCACAGATGGTAATATAAAGGAGCACTTAAAGATGGTGAATACATTATATATCTTATGTTACAGCATGGAAGCAGAAGAAAAGTGTAAAACATATTTTGTAATAACATTTAATATGGTAATCTCAATGTAGAATTTGAAACTGATTTACAGTATACAATAACACACAATATAGTCAGGTTATCATCCAATTGAATTCAATTTGAATTCAGAAAAAAAGCATCTCCTGCTCAACTGATAGTTTACTGAATAATGAGCATTGGACTATTTTGTTTAATGAAGAGTGAATTGTGTCTCCTATGTCTGCTCATCATCATGGTGCAAAACCATTCCACATATAGTAATTTATATTTCTTCAATATCACATCTTGGCCTGTGGCCGGAGCTGGTTTCTTTCGCACTATACGACTTATAGGTGACTCTGTTTTAACATCTGATCAGTTAAAAAGCCAGCAGGACAAAGAATCTGACCAAGTACTTGACGGTATTTGACTGTTTCAATACTTGGTGCTAGGGCCACAGTTTGATTCCAAATATAGTTATTCCCCGCTCTAATAATACCATATCTCCTGCTGATGCTAGCCAAAGAGTGTAAAACATCATGTATCAGAGATATGATTATCTAAACACCTGTGTAATGCCAAATCTCCGGGCAACCTTCCTGGAGATCATTGCAGAGTGAAAGTTTTCTGATTTATACTGGAAGTGCTTGCATTTTATTTACTAATTTGTTTATCAACAGACTATTGGGTCACTTTGGCTGTTTTTAAAATTAAAATTTGAAAAAGCTCCAAAGCTTAAAGCAAGATTTGTACCTTACTTAAATAAACGTTTTAAGTCCATAAAGAGTTTATTGTGTTCTTAAGATGACAGATCATAAATAACAGATAACAGGTATTGGTTTGTCCAGCCAGGACTGTGATAGGCTGCATTAAAGTGCATGTTGTTAAAGGTTAAACAATCTTCTCCTTCAGTGCAGTGTATTTTATTAAATGATGAGGTCAACAAAGTGCCTTATCAAATCATGAACAACGGGAAAGCAAAGATCTATTCAGGTTCCACATAAATTGCATCCTGTATAAAGTTTATAACACACAGAGTGCTGATATGCATACACACATCACATTGTGATTATACAGAGCACATATAATATTAAAGGACCATGACTTGAAATTTGACCTCTAATACATGATGTGGTGGACTGTCTGATAAGTGAACGTTGGATGGATCATTGCGACATCAACTACTTAGTGTGGTTTCCCACAAAGATATTTTAGATCTTATTCATATTGATGGTACCAATGTACCTCTCTTTACCATAATTTCTCAAACATTTCACTCACCCACTGTATTTTAAAAATTTTTAGGGGTGCTACATATAACTAAATCTATTGATTCTCTGGGTTTGTTCTTAGGAACAGTGGTGGTTTGAGCGAAATGCCAACATCAGCACACTAACATGTTCACAATAACTGACAAAAATGTCACCAATGCAAGTCTCATCATTAAGAAAAATGTAATAAATAGAATATCCATCTTTATTCATTATTAGTAGTTAATTGTGATTGTTTAACCTTTAAGTGTTTTCAGTGTTTGAGCTTTTTGGCTTCCCACACCATTCCCTTCCCATGTGAATTAGATCATTCTTTTGGAGGACAATGTTAACTGCAACCGGCCATTAATCATTTAACACTGATTATCGCTTATCTGTTAACACTGCCATCATAAATAATGTTATGTGATGGAAAAGACAAAGTACAGACCCAAGAGTCTTCAAGAAGCCTAATTAAATTTATAACTAGAAAAGTGCAGATCTCTGCCAGTTATGCCTGGCAGCATGTTGGTGAGGAGCAGGAAGTGCAGGGCAGGGTCTGTGTGTCCAGTGTGTAAACACACCAGCGATGTAAAATGTCACTTTCGAAGGTGAAAACGCCAACAAAAGAATCCGCCAACACTAACGTTATCACCACATATGTTGACCTTCTGCTCAGTTAAGAGGAGTCAGCACTCAGTATAAAACAGAGCAGTCAATAAAATTATATTTTCAAGGTTTTTTCAAAAATTCTCAGAGAGAGGTCCTTGATTATAAATGTGCACGACAAAGATGAGGCTAGATCCAGTAGTATGCTGCAGACATACACTCACGGACACACATACATGCGACCAATTACTCGATCCTCTGCATGCTTACGGCTACAATATATTTCAATTTTATGGGTTGAAGCAATGAGTGAGGAGCAGTAAATGACAGATATATGACATCTTATGCTCTGTATAAACTAACGTACCTGCGTTTTTTTATGTGTCACAATGAAAATTTTCAGAACTGACACTGATACACTGTAAAAAATAGATAAATAATGAAGATTTTACTTTTTACGCTCAGTTTTATTTAGTTACCTTTGATCTCTCTGAACTCTTTTTCTTGGATCAGATCTGATCAAAGGATCAGTGATTTGACAGGTTTAAACATTAACATTTCAAACTTACGGACATTAATTCAACCTCAGGAAAGATTACAGCAAGGAGAAGTACCTGGCATTTATAACAACACTCACTTGATCAGTAGATAATTAAAGATATTGATAGAATCAGATGTTGATTATGGGCAGTTGAAAAGTATTTCAATGTTGCCGTCCACTCAAAATTCAGTCCCACCAAGCTTTTTCCGGTTTTTTGGGGTGATTTTTGCAGCCTAAACTGCCGAAAAAAAGTTTTTCTGAAAAAATCATGATACATGTTGTTTTTAGCGACTGGTTTGTAATGAAATTGCAGGACAAAGTGAAAAGAGAAAGAAAGTTGTAAATTTCTTCTTTTTTTTGTATAATTCAATAAAAATCAATGGCAACTTGTTCAAGTGAAAATAAAACTGCACTGTTCGGAGCGTAAATGTGAGACATTTGCGTCCCAGATGTCTGCATCTTCACAACAAACAAGGAAATGAATTTGGCTCAACATTTTGCGCAGAAAACTACAATTAAATTTGCAGAAAGGTTACGGTGAAATTGCAAAGTCATGCAAAACTCATTGATTGTTTGACTTTGCGTTAATTGTTGCGATCACAAGATTGCAACTTCCTGGAGAGACTGGAAATTGTTACTTCAGTTGAATGTTTGCAGAATGTATGTACAAGCTAGTTTTGGAGCAAGAAAACCTAAAACTTGAAATTAAATATTTTTTGTGTTTTAAAACATGTCTGGAGGGGATCTTTAATAATCCATGGGTGTCATTTCAGTAATTAATTAATCCCAGTGTGCAACAAAAATCACATTCCAGTGAAACTAGTACAGTTCACATTTGTTTGCATGAGTGGTATGACATGCTCTACATCCTACCAGAAGGGTTGTGATTGTTGACATAATAACAAACAACAAAGAGTGCCATCCTGTGGTGGCAGGTCAAGTTGCACAAAGAACATTGGTAGCATCTCTGCATCAGCGGTCATGCTTCTCTCAGAGATGGTTGGCATAGCCTTCTCCACCGTCTGCAGTGTCGACGATTTTGGCGCGCTGAGTTTGCACAGAAGCATACAGATCAGACATGACGGAGACGCCATCTGTGTTGCCTTCATCTTCCTTATCTGACTCCGGCGGCTCCTCTAACTGAACTACATCTGAGTACTGTATTTGCGGAGAGCTGCGGCCGGACTGCACTCTGGGAGCCTTCAGGGTCAGGTTGGCATAGCATTCCTGAGTTTTGGACTGGAAGGAGAAACAAAATACAATTATGTAACGTTTTCACACAACTCTATATCTACAGGACAATATGATCCAAAACAATCGTCCCCTGTCCTTACAAAGACCTTCTGAAGCATTTTATTCATGTTGCTGCTTCCACTTCCTAATCTACTGCTGCTATGAAGGTTAGAGATTTGTATGAAGTGAATTAGATGCAAAGAATGATGTGGATCTCAATCTTTGTAAAGCGATTTAAAGAACCTACCTGTGAGAAATTGACTCTAGAAAGATCTCTTGAGTGTGCCAGATCAGGTTCAGTCATGCCTGTGAAAACAACATCGGATTGTAAACAGACATAGATAAAGGCTTCTAGAGAGAGAGAGACACATGTGTACAAAGCAGCACTTACTTGTCTGCACGTAACCTAGGTTTCCATAAATAGGATTATCTTCCATCTGCCTTGGGCTCCTTCTTAAATTGGGCAAACAGAGCGAAATGTGTTTTTTTAATTGTCAGTTTGGCAACGAGATCTTTAAAAGAAGGACATCAATTAGCCTTTTCTTTGGAACAGTAAATATACGTATAGGCTACATACCTTCGTCTATTCCTTCGTTCTCCTGTTGCAGTATAAAGAATAATACATTCACCATTAGATGAAGGAAATTAATTTGTTTTCACTGGATTAAAAAAATGACAAAATATTGTAATTACCTGTGCAACATTTTGATACACAGAAAAAGATATTCCAACATAGTGAAATAATCAGAATTGTGCCTAGAACCCAGATTGGCACCTGTAGATGAAGTGGCAATTTAAGGAACTCCTCACCTAGAAAAATAGAGAAAAATAATTATATTTATAATGGATAATTTAAAACAATTAAATATTTCCTCCAGACCAGCAGATGAAAATGCTCTTCTTTGAAACTATATCTACTCCTGCAGTGAAAGATC